ATGCAGGTATATTGTATTTTTTTGCTGATAAAAGTCTCGTGGGTTTTGATGGAAACAAGGAATATGATCCATCTTTTGGTGTTTCCTTTACATTCATTTTTATATACATCGGTTTCTTATTTCAATTGTTTGTCCTACATACACTGATTGCATAAGGTATTTGTTGTCTGCCAGTGCACTTGTTTCCGGGTCTCTTTAATTTCAGCCCCAGTGTGCTCTGTTATTTTGCCTTTTCTCCTGCACTGCATTTGTCATTATGATGCTCCTTGACGATTTCTGTTTTTATTCTTACCTTGTGTGGTTGGGGGATTTTGGAGAGGGTTGATTTTTTAATATCAATTGTTCCTCCTTCCCGCAATATCGTGCCATGCTTAACGTGAAGAAGAAGTGAGAATTGTGATGCGAATAAGAGGAAAATAATAGGCTTAGTTCATAAAAATAATCCCTACATGTATGGATTCTAGTGTTCTACAATAATAATCTCTAGAGAGTGTTCATAAAAATAATCCGAACTAGCAATAGCGTCCACGAGAATAAATTGAGATGAATTCAAACTAATGCTCTTCATTTCCTTCTTCCCGTTTATTAAATGATTTTCATTTTTATGTATTTTTTCAGATTAGTTCCCTGATAAAAGATCTTTTTCCCACCTTACTAATTTTTTCCATCATTTGCAATGGAGCCAAAGATTCATTATTTTTTGGATTGAGAATATGATGGAATAAATCAAAATGGCTCACTAAACTGTCTGCGCTTCTTTGTTATGAAGTAGCAGTCAGTCCATGCAATTTTGGGGTAAGACGGTTGTGGTAAGACTGCGTACATCCGACCCCCCCTTACCCCACCGTAGGTGGGAGCCTTTGCGGCACTGGGGTAAATGAAAATGAAATGACTAATTTTTTATTTTACATTCTTTTTACTTCCACTTTTTTTTTCCTTATAATTTTCTGACCTTAATTCCACCGGCTATTATTTACGTAGTATTATCTAAATGGACTCATTTACAAAAATATGGTGATGCAGAAAAAAGAAAAATATATTAGTGGTGGAATTAAGGTAAGAAAAATAAAAAGGAAAAATTAAGTGGAAGTAAAAAAAAGAAAGTAAAGTAAAAAATTAGTAGGGTGAGAAAAAGATCTTTTATAAGAAGGGAACTAATCTGAAAAAATACATACAAATGAAAATCAAAAGAAATAAAAATAAGAAGACAAAAGAAGGGAATAAGAGTCAAGAGGATAAAAATAAAGAGAGAACTTTTAGGGAGAAAAAAATGATATGTGGGATCGTTTTGAGAAGATTTGTGACATGTAGGATTTATGGTTTAATAATCTGCAAAAAAAAGAAAATAATCCGGAATAGCAAGTCATCAATAGGTCAGGGACCGATAAAAGAAGATGGAGTGCAAATATGAGATTATTCCTAAATTAGAGTTAGGTGAGATTATTAGTTTCCATCTCCTTTTATATTATCTGTTTTTTATTTTTTTTATTATCTTTCTTTTCCTTTTGGCTCCGATATCTTGTATTGATTCATTCATGTTAGCCGACCGCAAAATCTTTTGGGACTAAGGCTTGGTCGCTTGGATATTGTTGTTGGTGTTGTCACCCTCAATGTCAAATTAAATCATTTTCTTTTTCTAAGAGCACTAAGTCACATTGCATGAGCAGGCTCTGTATTTTTGGGGCAGTGGACACCGGAGAGTGTGGGCGATTATGCCAGCGGAACAAATCACGTCCTTCCAACTTATGGCTATGCAAGGATGTATGGTGGGGTGTGTTTAGACTCATTTCTAAAATACATTACTGTACAATCTCTGACTGAAGAAGGCCTGAGAAACATAGGCCCTTGTGTTGCTACCATGGCTGATGTTGAAGGTCTGGAAGCCCACAAGAGGGCAGTCACCCTCAGACTGCAAGACCTTGAAGCACGCGAAATGCTTTCTGCTGCTAGTTCATCATAATAACATAATCTGAGTTACTGTCATTTCCAAATTCCAACTTTTTGGAATCACAACTGTCATATCTCTTGGTTAATCGAGTTATGCATGGTCTGTAAACTCCTCACACAGAGTTTGATGAGTTAAAAGGGTTTTGAAGTCTAGAATTTGTTTAGAAGATATTATAAGGGAAATTGAATGACTATTGTGTAAACTCAAAGTGTTAGTGATGTAACCACCGTTATGCTGATATGTTAATGACTTGTCGTCTACTTCGTCAATTTTACACCTCTTGAAGTACTAACGTATTTCATATGGATGGTGAAAATCAGTAATATGTTCAGAATGATGTTTAGATGTGACGATGTGCCACATTTTAACGAGAAATGTTGTTTGCGCACACATTTTACATGTCGGCCGAATTGTGTTTAAAGAGTTTTGTGTTTTGTTTTGTGAAGAGAATCACAAAATATGAAAAAAGAATTGTCTGTGCATGGACAATTCAGTCGGCGTGTAATATGACGTGTATAACTTGACGTGTATAAAAAGCATGATTAAATTTTAATAGCTTATTTCTAAATCTAGCTCACAAGTAACAACACTAGTCCTCCAAACGTAGGGAGAAAGATAAATTGGGCTGGGCGGACAAAGGGAAGTTTGGGGTGAATTGGGGCTGTACATGGCCCCTCCCTTAGCTTAGCTGCACTGCACCGCACCTTTTCCAAGCTAGGCATGGATCGGGCCTGACCGGGCTTTTTTGGGGAAAGTTGAGGCCCGGAACTGGTCCGGTTATCCACCAGGTCCGGGCCGGTTTTCCACCGGTTCCGTGCCGGGCCTAGCTGGTTGTTTTTTTTTGCTTTTCTAACTAACCCCCTCACCTCAAACCCCCCAAAACACCCAGCCCAACCCAAGAAAAAAATTGAAAAAAAGGCCCGAACCGGGCCTGGTCCAGCCCGGCCGATTCCTATTTTGGCTTACCCGAGCCCGCCCTATGTAACCCCCGGGTCGGGCCTACCCGGACCGGTCTCTGGCCGGGCCATCGGGCCGTGCCGGTTCCAAACTGTGTTGGGCCGGGCCGGTCGGCCCGGAACAGGTCCATCACTATTCCAAGAGAACTACCCCAGTCCCCAGCGGGCCAGCAGTGTAAAACCTTCTCTTCCTACACGAATGAAAGCTCAATCCAAAGTTGAAAGTGGAATCACAATGTCAAATCTCTTGATTAGGCAAACTATCGTTCATAGTTCATACCCTGTCAATATACCTCATCGTATTCCTACATTTCTTACCACAATGATACAATCTACATTCTTTGTCCTCCCACATCGCTACTTTTAATTTTCTACACTAATGTTCCTATAGTTTGGTATGTGCATTTTTTGTCTTTCTTAAACTAACTGCAATCCCGTTCCGTCAATAAATCTAATTTTCCACCAGTTTATACGTATTTACTCAGTCAATTTAATTTTTCTTTGCAATCCAGCACCGTCAATATATTCACCCAGCAAAGCTTTTTCTTAATTAAACCCGTCTTTTTATTATTATACATTCATTTTTGGTAATAATTTTTACGAATAATTATGATTTTAAATGTTATACATCCCGATGTAAAAATAAATGAATTTGGAATTTATTTATTTTTGTCACTAATTTAGACCTAAATTTGAAAAAGAATAACCAAAAGATATAAAATGTTATTTAAATCTTGAGATCTTAATTTTAGCATTTAGATCAATTTAACAAAAAAATTAAACTTAAAAACTCCAGCAGATGAAACTTAATATATTTTTTTAAAAATTTTACATAGTCTATATTGGTGTCATATGAAAGATCATAAAAAATTATGAATTTTGATATATTTTTTAAAAAATTCGAAGTACAAATAAAAAAAGTTATAACACAATAAAGAAATTTGGAGATTTTAATTTGCTGGGACCCATCGTTCTTGACGCATTGTCGTTGCTTGTGCAGCTTGCCTCTCTCGGTGAGTAAGAGCAACTCCAATGCAAGGGTGTGGTCTCTTACACACCCTTACACATGGGTCCCATTTTTTATCTCACAATTTTTATGTGTAGGACCCATATATTTCCTAATTTATTTTCATTTTCATTTTTTATCACTTTTAACTCACTTTTCATCAACTTTTCCTCCTCGAATCCCGTGTAAGATACATATATGGACCTTGGTCCATTTTTACCTCTATCTCTCTCCTCTTTTTCATTTTTCCCTACACATCACTTCATCCAAATATTTATTGATTTTATTCTATCTCTATCTCTCTCCTATGCCACATCAGCTGCAATGCACCCTCCCATTGGAGATGCTTACCAATGGGAGGGTGCATTGTAGCTGATGTGGCATAGGAGAGAGATAGAGAAAGAATAAATATTGGGATGAAGTGGTGTGTAGGGAAAAATGAAAAAGAGGAGAGAGATAGAGGTAAAAATGGATCAAGGTCTATGACAAGGTCCATATATGGACCTTACACGGGATTCGAGGAGGAAAAGTTGATGAAAATAGGGTTAAAAGTGATATAAAAAAATGAAAATGAAAACAAATTGGAAAATATGTGGGTCCTACACATAAAATTTGTGAGATAAAAAATGGGACCCATGTGTAAGGGTGTGTAAGAGACCACACCCTTGCATTGGAGATGCTCTTAAGGCTACTAATTCCCACGGTAGTGAGTGCTATGTAGCCACTATAAGACTTCTGTATACCTGGATTGCGGCAAATTTGAGGGTGAAAACCTCATATTTGACTATTCACCTGCTGGGTTGCAACCAGCCTTATTCTTTAACATCACTTTTTTTTATCTTCACAAAATCGAACACAAATCATCTGGGCAGCAAAGTCTAAATTATTGTTGTATGGAGTATTATTTATAACAAGTTAGACCACTTGTCCACTTGTAGTCCAAAGGTGTCCAAAATGTTAAAATGGACATTTTGAACTCCTAAGTTCTTACACTGGGGATCAAATTGGGAGGCCAAAATTGGACAACCCAAATAGCCCCGTCAATGGCATGGAAGAAAGTAAAAACAGAAAAAGTGAGGGGCAAGTCAACTACAGGACCATTGGGATAAATCGTTTTTATTTGAACTCCAATTTTCACAACAATAAACTGAGATTCATGTTCCTCCAAATCAATTGGAAGGAAAACAAAACTATTAGACTAATTTCATAGTGTTCAATTCGTTTTCAAGAGGTGGTAATTAATATTTTATCACTCGAAAGAAACATGTATTTTCTTAATTAAAGAACAGAGGGAGTGTAGTAACTATACACTGAGAGACAAATAAAAATTACAATGTGACTCCATTGTTGGCCTCTGAAAATTGTTGTCGCAGAACTCTTCGCATAACTTTATTTGTTGCGGTTCTAGGTAGGGAAGGGAGTGCTACAGTGTTGGAAACCTGCATATTGCATTAGTTAGGTGGCTGAAATCCAACACTAACAATCAGAGCAGAAGTGATATTAGTGACTTACCTTGAACAGAGGGTTCAATTTCTTTTGCAGAGCCAAGTTGAAGGAAATCGTCAATTTGTTCAAGTTGTGTTTCGATTCATCTGAATCCTTGAAGACAACTACAATTACTAACTTCTCAGGACCACCTCCAGCAGGTGGCACCCCAATGGCGGCAGTCTCTAGAATATCAACATCAACAGCATTGCAAATGCGCTCGATCTCGAGGGAACTTACCTGACAAACAAAGTAGGATCTTGACTAGTCAAATTAAGACTAATAACCCATTAGCTAATAAAAAGCACAGAATAGAAATTTAGAACATGCATTCACTTGGCATGATTTGCCATTGTGTGTAAGCAGAGACCTTGATACCACCAAGATTCATCGTATCATCTGCTCTACCCTGGGGACGATAATACCCTTTACAAGTACGCTCTATGACATCTCCGTGTCTTCTCAAGATCTACACAAGCAAAGAAAGAATAGTGAGGCATAATCATCAGCATCACATTAATCCTAACTTCATTGGGGTCAAAGACATAGAATTTAAAATATAAAATGGTCTTAAACCAGTTCACAATAAAGTCATGCAAAAACAACTCAATGGCAAAGTTATAAGCCGGATACCCTTCTTATTGCAACCTTCTAAAGAAGGAATTCTGAGAAGAATAAAACAATCACCATCATAGGTTTCCTACTCACATGGAAACTATCATGAGATGGCAATGTAGTTGAGATAGTTGATAATAATGTCATATTGTAATATCACATGCACATCCTGGAACGGTATTAAAGAAATCATAACGAGCAGGGAACATAAATCCATGCAAATTAGAGTGCCATGATTGTTTACTTGCCTTTCCATTCCATGCAGGCATTCCTTTGAAATAAACCTTGTAGTGGTCTGCATTCAGCAGCGTGCTGGATGCTCCAAACATGAGAGGACCAAGGGCCAATTCACCAATTCCAGGGACATCAGATGCCTATTAGATAGATAAAAACAGGAGCAATTTCACTTTTGATAATTTGATGCCATGAGTATGATGCCATTTGACCATTTCTACATTTGGTCTCTATATCACATTCTGTCCATCTGGTTGATTTACAGGCCAAAGTTATGGTGCCAGCCAATGTGGCCAAAGTTCTCTCACTCTCCCCCCTTTACGGCTTTACCTAACCAGCACCCCTCTATCCACAAAACACTCAACCTTCTTTGCTCCACTTCACACTGCCGATGAAGCTGGGATGGTCAATCAATTATTTTTTGATTGGTCCTGCACTTTCCATCTGAGAGTTTTATCTCACCTTTCATTATTCCATCTTTTGAATTTCCCCCCTTTCAACTTTTAACTGTTGTGCACTTTCTTCATTGTTATATTACGTGCGCTATAATTCTTTCAATCAAACTAGTTCTGCTATAGTTCAGCTTTCTTTGTAATTAAATGCTTCCACCTTTTGTTCTCATGGGAATCAGTTTGGAGCCATGGTGAAAAGATTATCTATTCTTCTGTTTTCCATGTTTTATTTCCTACCAATATGCCTTTAGAATATAATTTTATATTCTGAAATGCACTCACAAACAAAAGAGAAGAGAAGAGTTTGAGCAACTATTGAGTTCCAAGTTACAGATTCAACAGTAAAAGATGGAAGATAGAGATTGAGGAGATGGAGGGAAGACAACAAGAGTGGAAAGAGAAAGGAGGTGCGGGTAGGGGGGGAAGACAAAAGGGATAAGTTAGGTGGTTAGGGCAGAGGAGAAGAAAGGGGAAGGGTTGGTTGATGTGTCATTTCAAATATGGTGGCAGTGCCATATAGGGTATTTAAAATTATGTTGCATGGAAAGCTGATAAACATGTAGAAACGTGAAAAGGGAAATACTATCTTTCAACAGAAAAACAAGTGTTTGATGAGTTTCTAAAGAGTTTTCAGAGTTTCCGAAATGGAAAAGTCCTCTTTCCCGAGGACGTCGGCTTCATAGATTTAAAATGAAGTGGCCATGCATACAATTGTGCGTAATCCTTCACTAAGCAAAAGTGGGTCGATAACTTCTTCAAAAAAATTAATCGAATAAGAAAATAAGGGGTAAGTGCTAGCACAAACCTGATGTCACGTAAAAAATTAAGCAGCAAATACTTACAATAGGAAATCCGTCCTTGCCAATAATGTAGAGGCTACAGCCTATAGCTGCTGTGCTAAATGCAGCCAAAGACTGAGCCTGTAGCAAGGAACCAGTTACAAAGCCTCCACCAATCTCCGTACCACCACAATACTCTATCACAGGTTTATATCGAGCTCTTCCCATAAGCCAGAGGTATTCGTCCACACTGGATGCCTCACCACTGGAGCCAAAGCAACTACCAATCATATGGAAACAAAGTAAGGCCATTAACTAACTGGGCAAGAAATTGAAAGAGAAGGTTGGAAATGTGAATGGGTATTTAAAAAGAAAAAATAGCTGGGTGCACTTATAAGGTGGTGGCTTGAACAGAAGTCAAACCTAAAACCACAATCATAAACCTACCGAATGGTTGACCAATCAAAGCCAGATGTACAATTTGTAGTTTTCCATGTTCTCACAATGCTCGGGATCACACCTAGCATGGTTACTTTGGCATCCTACATAATGACAGAATGTATGTAAAGATGGGATAGACAGTAGAAGCATTACAAAAAATAATAGTCAACCAATTTAGTACTCTCTAGTCTCTACATACTTTCATTTTTTGTTAATTTCGA